ACATGATCTCCACTCACACTGTAATCCCAGGAAGTTTTTGGCCATTATTTTGAAGTGGTGCTGGGTTCATTAACACTGGGCAATGATTAAAGTCTTTACTCTCCATTTGTCCCCTTCCAACACCATCCCCGTGGAGAACGGGAAGGGATTCTCATTACTGACAGGCAGAGGAAGAAGTCGAGTTTACCCACATGGCCTTCACTGACACTGCCAGTGTGAAATAGGGTCTCATTATTGGCCGGGAAGAAGTCGAGTTTACCCACATGGCCTCCACTGACACTGCCAGTGTGAAATAGGGTCTCATTATTGGCCAGGAAGAATAAAAGTTCTAGCTCTCTACTTGGCCTTCTATAACATTATCCTGTCAGGGATGTGATGCACCCTGTTACAGCCTTGCTAGGGTGAAGATCAGCCTGTCCACTCAGGCTTTGCTAGCATAGTTAGGAAGGGACCACAGTTTTTTCCTGTGGTGTTTGACTGGCATAGAGAAGCTATTATCTAAAAGTTGTCTATCTTGCTAGACTGCCTGTTACCTGTCATTTCATTAAAGAGCAGCCTTTTTTTGGGGGTTGCTTTTTATTTATGTATTTGTCATCTGCACCAGTTGGTTTTTCCAGGTGCTGCCTTCTTCTGTCCCAAGTCTTTGACATATAGAGCTAAAAGAAAAAATGGAACCTGGGGTACTCTCTCTCATTTCCTTCTGTGGGTCTCAGAGTCCCTAGCTGATATGACTTCTCTCAACCTTTGAAGTCTTCATATGTTTATTTTATATACACTATCCAGGGCTTAGGTGCACTTAGCCAAAGAAATAGGGGAATGTATGACTACTTCATGTTTGCACAAGGAGGAATTCAATAATCACTTTTTATGAGAAGATATTGAAATACACTTGGGACCTTTAGTTACCACTCTGCATGTAGAACTCCATCGTTACAGCAGAAGAATGACTGTGAGAACCCTCAAGGGGACATCTTTTTGCTAGACCATGAAAACCCGTTCTCATCACATAGGCTCTATGGAGTGATGTACTTTAAATTTAAAAACATAAAACATTAGAAGAAGAGAATGAAGCAGCCTTAAATGGAGTCTAAAAAATGAGTAAAGTTGGGCTGCATCACTGAACTATGGGTAAACTTACCAGAACTCTTCCTTTGCTGTGGCATTTGAGACTATGAATTAAATGCAAGTATGAATCAAACAATATATTTTTTAAAAGGCAAAAAAAAACTTATGGTTATCTGGGGTTTACAGTCTTTATTTTTTGAGAGGTTGCAACTTTACATAAAATGATACCACCATTAAATGAAAGCTACTGACATCAGCAGTGTGGGATGTGAGTAGAGCTTAGCTTAGAGAAGACAAGGAAAGCAATAAAAATCACAGAGGACCCTGGTTGCTAAATACACTTTAGAGACTATGCTCACTGTTTGTCGTGTAGTGGACACTCATAAATATGTGCTGAATTGAAGAGGTGCAAGACATGACTTAATTGTTTAGGGAAGAATTGGATACACTAAACATGTCATTACATAATTGCCATTTTCAGTTTTCCCCACTACTCTGAAGACTCTCTATTTGTACTATTCAGTGCATTAAATCAGACATATTGTAGGTCATCAAAAAATAGTTATTACATCCAATATAAAAATGATCACATTTTAAAAGAATAGAAAAAAAGAAGTGAAGAGTTGGCAGAGTTTGGGTAATCATTACTGCAGTTCACCAATACTTTTGGTCCTCTTCGTCCTGGAAACATGGTAGACATGCTGGAAGCTAAGCATGGGTTTGACCTCTAAAATGCAGCAGATGAAGCACGTCACTTTCAGGGTCAGCTTTAAGAGCGAAGGTATGATTCTTCCATGTGGTTCCCCTGGGCTATGTCAAGCAGCACTGATCCAGATGGAAGAGGCTGTATCTCTGGCTGCCAGCAAATCAAGCAGGACAGGACATTTAGTGTGAGCAGGAAATTAATCAGGAAAGACAAAAATCAAGCAAGACATTTAATGTGAACAAAGAATCAATCTTTACTGTTACAATGATAAAAAAAAAAAAAAGCAAGGATTATTTGTTACTATAACATTACATAACCCATCCTGAATAATAGAAAATTGCAGGAATATGTCTTTGGCAGTGGGTTAATAGGGGCTTTTTGTTTTCTTCTTTATCTTCTTATATTTTCTAATTTTTCAAATAATGTTTTTATCTATTTTTACTTTGTAGAATTTGTATAATTTATAATAAGAAAACAAAATTAAACTGGGGAGAAGACACACTTTTAGGATTTGGATATGTTTATAATTTGAAATGATGTTATATTTTTATTGATAAATGTATAAATGTACAGGATTAATGCAATTTTCTTGAACTTAAAGTATGTTTTGGTACATGCTCTTTAGTCTCCAAGAACACTGAAAGACAAAATGTTATACTTTCATTGAACTAGCACCTATGATCTTGAGATACATCTGCTCCAGGCCCTAAGAAATACTCTTCCACCAGGGTGGTAGGCCTCTAGGGGTTCTGGGAGACTTGTGTGTGACTGACAACTTCCCTTTTGTTTGCAATTGGCTGATGTAATCAGGCAGAGGCAACCAACAATGATATGTTGACCATGAAAGGGGTGTGTTTGCTGATTTCCCCTTCTCTCACCTTCCCCTCTGTACAACACACACACACACACACACACACACATGCACGCACACACACAGGCACGCACACGCACACACTAGCGAGGCTGGGCTCATTCAGGAAGACCCAGAACATTTGCATGTTGCCTTTATCAGACAGGAGGGCCTTTCATGTGAATTTTATAGGAGGTACCTGAATAAAAGTGATTCTGTTTCTACTCTGGTGCAAGTTCAGAACTTCAAGACACAGGGTTCACATGTGTTTGTCTGCACATTTTCACTGGCTGACTTGAATAAGATCAATAAAAGCCCTTTCCTTCAATCTGGCAGAATCATCAACCAATTGTAGAGAGAAATTACAGTCTCAACCCTATAATTTTTCTTTCAAACTACCCTGCCACAATCAGAAGATAGTTTTTTATTTCTTTGATGATTGAGGCTTTATAAACCAAAACTAAGAGCGACCAGATATTTTTTAAAGGTTAATATTTTGCAACATTGCTAACTCTCAAGTATTATTTAGAGTTTCCTCCCACTTTATTAACCTAGAACTATGTAACACAATAAACCACCAATAGAAATAAACCTCTTATTGGTCCCACTAAAAAAGATACTAAAGCCCTGGTTTTAGAAATAAATGCTTCGCTCTTATTCTTCCATTGTCCTTCAGAATCCACATTTAGTATCTGAAATAATGAATTCTACTTCTGAATAAGTTAAAAGGAACTAAAAGAAGTGATGACAGTGAAGCACTTGTCATCAAGGAAACACTTCTTTTTTCAAGGAACCATAAAATGTTTAGATCCTAAACTATACCTAGAGGAAAAAAGACAACTTTATTACGAAACTTTACATTTATAAAATTAGTTTCGGAATAGCAAGTTAATGATCTCTCTACCCTTATACTTGTTCTGTTAAGTTTTTTTAAAATAACAACAACAACAACAACTATATATATATATATATATATATATATATATATATATATATATATACATATTCTGCAAAGCAAACATCTTTTACTAAAATTGTCCAGTTTAGCCTTCAAAATACTTAATTCCTTTCTACTCTAAAATGTCTAGGTAGAGGGAAAATTTATTTTTAAGTTTTTCAAATGTCACCCCTTCAGTGCAGTTCCATGCACTCACACTGGAAACTAGGTCTTGCCGTGGAAGATGCCTAGGGATCCTGTAGAGTCAAAGCGTTCTGAAAAAAAAGTTAATAATCTTTTTTCCTTGTTACTAAAAAAGACCTGGGCGAGGCATCTCATACACCCGCAGGGAGTAGCTAGCTGCTGAACCGTTAGCTCCGCCAGCCAGACTCCCTCAGCTTTCATATCATCTGGCTAACATTGTACAAAGATGTTTGTGGCAATGAAATTGACAGGAAACCTGGCAATCCATACAGCATTTAGGGATTCCTTCTTTTTTAATTCTGTTAACTGAGATGAACCCAATCTGCTGAAGCCATCATTGGTAGATCTCTGGACCCGGTCTTGTAAGACCAGCTCAGACTTTCTGGCCAAGGTCCCTTGGTCCGTAGATCTAATTAGCACTGAGAGCAGTTTCCTAGCATCTAAAACATAAGCTGATCTGGATTCTAATGTCCTGATCTGGATTCTAAAATTGGAATCATTTTTCTTAAATGCTCTTACTTCCTATTACTTCCAAAATGGGTTGATCTGCAGAAAAGGATGCTCATATTCCCTTAACTAGGGGAATCAACTAGCCCATCAATCAACAAGTAAGTACCTTTTCCCTGGGACCTACTATGTGCTCCAGGATGGACTGAAGCGAGTACTGCAATCTATGAAACAGTTGTTATAACTTCGTTAGAATTTGGTTGGTTCCACAGAGCCCCATCTCCTAAGAGCCTTTGAAATCATTTTGCAACCATTTCCTACACAGCTCGCACTCACTCACACAGAAAGTTTGGTTACTGTCATGATAATGCCATGCAGAGGGTAGTAGGGGGAGAGTGGAAATGAGGGTAAAGAGAGAGACCTTGTGCTGGCAGCCTGGAAGCCTTGTTTACCTAATGCAATGAAGAATTCAGACTCCCCTCGCTCTCCAGGCTGCACAAGCTTCTGTGCCACGTAGAAGGTCATGTAATTGTGATTTGGAAAAGGCAAGCTTGGAGCCCACGCACAATTTTAAAGTTGTGCATGGAGTCAAAGGAAGAGAACGGAGGTAAAGGGCATAAAGGGTTATCTTAACAGCTAGGAGGTGAGTGTGTTTTCATCTTCTTCTTATCTAAAAGCTAGACCTTCTACCAGGCAGAAAATCAGGTTGTTCTTTGGGGCCTTGGTCCCGCTGGTCCAGTCTAACAAGGCGTGCTGACTAATTGATGTGCATTTCTCTCTTCCCGCCCCAGGACAGCTTTCCTGCCCGCTTTGGAGGAGTCCACTTTGTCAACCAGCCCTGGTACATTCATGCCCTCTACACACTTATCAAGCCATTTCTTAAAGACAAGACCAGGAAACGGGTAATGAAAATAAATGCGTCATGTAAATTTCAAACAGGAAATGCCCGGGACAATTATGGTGCTTCCGTTTTCTCTCTCTCCCCTCTTCCCACTTCTCCCCTTCCCTCCCCCTCCGTCCCTCCCTCTCTCTTTCTCTGTCTGTCTCTCTCTCTTCCATTGTGGTATTTTTACAGGCTTGGAGCATTTGAGCCTCAGCTGGAGTTTGCAAATGGTCTGGGTTTAATTAATAATTTAGTAGAACTGGCTTATTTTCAGAGTCCCAGTGATAAACCAAAAGAAACTTTGGAGGCATGCAAATACCAGATGACCATTTTACTGTAAATTCTTATGGGAGATACTGGGTCCAGCAGCTTTCCTGTTCGTGGAATATTTTAGTAGCTAGAATTTTGTTCTGTAAATGTATTAGTGCTATGAAGAATGATTACAATTTTTCTTCCCTCCCATGGCTTTGGGTGATAACTGCTAACTCTATCACCTGTAAAGCTGGAAAAGCATTCTTCTTTGGCAGTAACAATGCTCTTATGATGAAGGCTTTTTATATCAGTTGATAATGCTTGGGAAGCCAGGCTTTTCCATCAATCAGAGTTGGGCTTTTTCACGGCATTTTGATGAGCTGAGTAACTGAACATTTCTTAACCACTCTGAATCTCAATTTTCTCCTTTGTAAATTGGAGAAACAAACACCCACGTCACAGAGTTGTTGGGGAACTCTAATGAGACAGCTTATGAAAACATGTAGTATGATGTGATTGGTACCTCATAGATCTGCTGACTTTTATTTATCTTTACCCTTTAGCTCCCTTTTCTTTCTCCCCAGTGTTATTGAGGTATAATTGACAATTAAAAATTGGATATATTTAAGGTGTTCAATGTGATGTTTTTATATACCTATACATTGTGAAATGATTAGCACAATCAAGCTATTAACACATGTATCTCCTCCGATAGTTATGACTGTGTGTGTGTTTGTGTGTGTGTGGTGAGAGCACTTAAGATCTACTCTCAGCCAGTTTCAAATAAACAAGACAATATTATTACTTATTACAGTTTCTGGACTGTACATTAGGTCTCCAGAATTTAGTCTGATCTTACATAACTGAAACTTTGTCCCCTTTGTCTGACATCTCTCTATTTCCCCCTACTCTCAGCTCCTGGCAACCACCCTTCTACTCTGTACTTCTATGATTTCAACTTATTTAGATTCCACACATAAGTGAAATCATGCAGTATTTGTTTTTCTGTGCCTGGCTTATTTTTGTTAACATAATGTTCTTTAGGTTCATCCACATTGTTGAAAGTGACAGGATTTCATTCTTCTTTAAGGCTGTATAGTATTCCATTGTGTATATATCTGTTCATCTGCTAATGGACACTTAGGTTATATTCAGATCTTAGCTATTATGAATAATGCTACAGTCTTATCTTTGAGACTTTCTGATTTCGGCTACCTCCTGGGTTAGAAACATCACTCCTTATGGGAATCTGGCTAGAGTAATCCTACAACACCTTCCCCTGACACCCAGAGTACCTGACACTAGGGAAGAGCTCTGAGTATTCAAGAGGGATTGATAATGTAAGAGATTCACCGCCACCCTCACGCTCTGTAGAGTTTCTAACTCCTAGACCTCAGATACTGCCAGGTCCTTAGAGAGCATTGACATAGGGTAGGGCAGGGGTAATTTCCCTGTTCTCAAACAAGTTTGAAACCAGGAATTAGAACTCAGTGGGATCAGAAGGCAGAAATATTTTGAAACCCATCTGGGGCTCAGGACAGTGCTAAGAACAGAGAAGTCTTCTAGGGCTGTTCTCAACATGGCTTCGGGCTTTCCAGAAACTTATTCTTCTATTCAGGTTGGAGCCAGAGAGAATTCCTCCCATGGTGGACACTTGCTGCCATGCCATAGGAGGGCATTTTTGGAACTTCGAGCGCAGGATAGATTCTAACAGGTGGAAGGGCCATCCTCCCACTTCTACATTTCTCCATCCCGTAAGACCCCCAGAATAAGGGTCACCTTTAATAGCACTCTCTGTCCTTCAAAAACGACATGTTGGGTAGATGGGTACAAATGTTTTCTCTAAACACCAGGGCTGATATTTAGCTCCAGCATGTTTCAAATATGACAGCACCCTCTGAAAAGTTTTTTAAAAGCCAGAAAAGTAACTTTCTTCAAAACAAGTAACTCTTACTAAAATTCTGTCATACTCAACTCTAATTTCAGAAATATACATTGCTTTACGAAGTGCTCCGGTCGTCTTCTGAAGAATTAGCACTTCTTGTCCCCTTCATCTTTAAATGATGTCATTACATCATAAGTTAAAATTAATACAATAGAACAAGGTAGCGAGTGTTTATCATTGAGGTCCTCTATTTAAGTATTTTAAAAATCACGTTTATATTTCTTTTTCTTTTTTTTTCCCCAAGATGGAGTCTTGCTCTGTTGCCCAGGCTGGAGGGCAGTGGTGCCATCTTGGCTCACTGCAACTTCTGCCTCCTGGGTTCAAGTGATTCTCCTGTCTCAGCCTTTCAAGTAGCTGGGATTACAAGCATATGCCACCAAGCCCAGCTAATTTTTGTATTTTTAGTAGAGATGGGGTTTCACCATGTTGACCAGGCTTGTCTTAAACCCCTGACCTCATGATCTGCCCGCCTTGACTTCCCAAAGTGCTGAGATTACAGGCATGAATCACTGCGCCTGGGAGACATTTATATTTCATCATGGTTATACTGTATGTGTATGTGCATGCACGTATGTGTACTTGATGATCCTATGCTTGGGTGCACGTTATGTGTTACACATAATTACTTCATGCCTGCCACGTGAAGAAGTGTGGGAATTAATGTCAGTACATAGATGAACTTTAAGTCACTTCTCAGAGTCAACTGCACCTTTCAGAGTCAACTCCTAAACTGCAGTCAGTGCTAATTATCTATTCATGGCTCATCCACTTTGTGGATTTGTCTGGAAATAATTGTAACTTGGAGGCATGGCTTCTCTCCTGCTTGACCAGTTTTTATCATTATCTATTGTATGTTCAGAAGATGCAAACTTGTTTGGATTTTAGTCCCCAATCCAGACAAAAATGAAAAATGGCTGCAAAAATATCTCATAATAAATTCTCAGGCTGTGGTTTTTTTATTCCATTAAATAAGAATTGATTTTCTTTTCCCTTGTACCCACATCGCCCTAGGAGCTAAGGAGCATTTTAAAGGAGTAAGAAAACACCATCTTTTTCTCTAGGTATTTTCTCCCTGTGGGGAAACAAGACATAAATGAACGTATCAGGAAAAACAAACAAACAAACAAAAGCAGAAGTCAGCAGATACTGAAGAATTAATTGGAGGGTGGATGGGAAGAAGCAGAATAGGCAGCTATCACCAGGACAGTTAGGAAGAAGCTGCAACTTTGTCTAGGGTTGAAAAGGATCTGGAGGACTGGGTGACAGCACACAGATGGGAGAACAGGGCAGTCTGGAGATACAGCAGTGGCTGGGGTTTCAGGTGGTCTGCACCATCACTCCTTTTACCAGCAGGGATAATTAGGAGATGACTGTATGTGTAAATTTGGCCCACGGCCAAATAACACTCAATCTGTTCAGAAACTTCATTTTTAATGACTGTTAATTCAGCCCCCTTTCTAAGCAATAAATTAACATTTTATGAAGACTAAGCTGCAGTCACAAAATCAGTGCCTCTTTAAACACCATGATCACCAGCAGTGCATCCAGTTTGTCATTGCTAAATTGTGTATTAGAAGAATTCTTGGTCGTATGTTTTGGATTTTGTATTGCTAATGACTTTTTTTTCTTTACAGATTTTCCTTCATGGAAACAATTTAAACAGCCTTCACCAGCTAATACACCCTGAATTTTTGCCGTCTGAATTTGGAGGAACTCTTCCTCCTTATGACATGGGAACTTGGGCCCGGACGTTACTCGGTCCTGACTACAGCGATGAAAATGACTATACTCACACTTCCTATAATGCAATGCATGTGAAGCATACATCCTCAAATCTGGAGAGAGAATGCTCACCCAAGCTGATGAAAAGGTAAGGCCTGGGTTATCAGAGCCTCCCCGTCAGAGGTCAGTGGAATTTTTATTTGGGTCTTTTGTGAGTTAGTAATCAAAGACCTTTATGGGCACAGAACTTGAATAAAATAAATTGTAATGCATTCTCAGTGGATTTCACTAAAATTGAAAACAAATGGGGCTTGGCTGGCCCAGAAATATAGTTATCCCCGTTGTATCAAAGAAACAGTTAAAGGCTAGGACCTCACTCAGGCCACAATTATAGCCCTGATCTTTAGGGAGTTTGTTAATACACACAGAATAAAATGTTGGACCTTTGAGATACACTAGATGGAAAAGCAACTTGCTAAAAATTGTTCCTATCATTCATTTATTTGGAACCATTTATTGAGCATTTACTTGGCTGCAGCACTGATTAGGGACCAGGGGTACAAATGCGAATAAGATGTCAAAAGAACAGAGAAGTGTGCTTCAGGGACTCTTCCAAGTAAGAATTTTGCAACATATTTATAAAGCAGGTAACATTCAGTCTGCGCTCTGGAGATCAACTCAGGCTTAAAAAATGGGATATGATATTCCAGCAGAGGGGACAGACTGAGACATTAGAGTGACGGAATAACCTCGTGTGGTAAAAAGGTGTGCAAGGGTGGGAAATGGGACTGGACATGAAATAAAGCTCCGAAAACAATTGGAGTCAGGTGGTGAAGACCATTGCATGCAATCCGTGGAGTACCATGAAAGAGCGGTTTTTTTAAAAAATTAAAACCTGATTGTTTAAAACTTTAATTTTATTTTTCCATAAGTTATTGGGGTACAGGTGGTACTTGGTTACATGGGTACGTTTTTGTGGTGATTTGTGAGATTCTGGTGCACCCATCACCCAAGCAGTATACACGGCACCATGTGTGTTGTCTTCCGTCCCTCACTCCCTCCCATTCTTCTCCCCAAGTCCCCATAGTCCGCTGTATCATTATTACACCTTTGCGTCCTCAGAGCTTAGCTCCTACGTACCAGTGAGAACATTTGATGTAAGACCTGATTTTTAAGGCTCAAATCCCCTTCAGCCAGTATTCTCAATCTCAGTCCCTCCCCAAATGCACCCACTATCGAGGTGGACCCTTGCAGTTCTTTTTCCATACACCACATGCAGCTGTACGCACACGTAAAAAACATCTAATATTGTGTAATTTCTAGGGCTGTTGTCATAAAGTACTACAGACGGGGTGGCTTAAACAACAGAAATGTATTTTCTTATAGTTCTGGATGTTGGAAGTGCAAGATCAAGGTGTTGGCAAGGTTGGTTTCTCCCGAGGCCTCTCTCCTTGGCTTGCACATGGCTGCCTTCTCCATGTATCCTTACATGGTTTTCCTTCTGTGTATGTCTGCCTCTGTCCCACCTTCTTCTTCTTGTGAGGACACCAATCACACTGAATTATGGCCCACCCATAGAACCTCATTTTACCTTAATTGCTTCTTTAAAAGTCCTTTCTCCAAAAATAGTCATATTCTGGCTATTGTTTGTGCTGTTAGTAGTTGGTCCTTTTCAATTAGGGCATGAACAAGATAAATGTTTTTCCTGGCAAATTGACATGAATTGATATCTGCAACTGAGGGCTTCACCATCAACATTGTCTTATTGCCCCCTCTCCCTTTTTTTTTTTTTTTTTTTTTTTTGAAACAGAGTCTTGCTCTGTCATCAGGCTGGAGTGCAGTGGCATAATCTTGGCTCACTGCAACCTCTGCCTACCAGGTTTAAGCGATTCTCCTGCCTCAGCCTCCCAAGTAGCTGGGACTACAGCCGTGCACCAGCATACCTGGCTAGTTTTTTATATTTTAGTAGAGACAAGGTTTCATCATGTTGGCCAGGATGGTCTCCATCTCCTGACCTCATGATCCACCCGCCTCAGTGATGGGATTAGAGGTGTGAGCCACTACACTCGACCATCTAGTCCTTTCTTAAAATGAGTTATCCAATTGTAAACTGCTGATTTCTTTGGGATATTGACTCCATAAGCTTTTTGTAAAGCATCAGTGATTTCACAATATTTTTACCCAACTTTCATCATAAATTTGATGTTTGTTCTTGCTTCAATTTTAGCAGAACTCATATTGCTCTGGTAAAGGTTTTTGTCAAACCTAATGTTTCTGATGTCTTATCTTCTTAGTGCATTAAACTAGATTCTGTTCAGTCATGTTATAACAAGTTAGTACAAATTTATTTTGGTAAAATTTTTTTTAACTCCATGCATAATTTTGTAATATGAATTTTCTATGAACTTTGTGAAGACTCCTCATAGACCATGTTTTTAATACTGCATGCTATTTTAGAATGTGGATATACCACAATTTAGCCATCTCCCCATTGCTTTGTATTTGGGTTTTTGAGGTTTTTCCTCGTCTAAATAAGGTTCAATAAATATCTTTGGTATACCTCCTTTATTTTCCTAGGAGGGTTCCTCTGGGTAGACTCAGAACCCTGTAGTTGGTAGATACATGCCTTTGACATTTTAGTTCACCCTGCTTAAAAGCTTTCCAAATGACACCAATTGATACTCACCAGCTGTGTATGAGAACCTTTTTCCCCAAACCCTGGAAAAATACATGATATGATCAGACTTTAATTTTAATGATAATCCTGTGATGTGAATATACTATGTCATTTTGTTTTCATCTTTATTTCCTCAACAAACATAGTTAACCAGAGAAATGACATAATAAGATCTAGGTCAGAGGAAAACTGGCTCTATTCTATAGATGTTTGGGCTATGGAAAAGGAGGAGTAACATTCATGAGGGTCGGGCTCAACTTCTTCCAAAGTGCTGTTAATCTGGATATTTTGACTTCCTCCCATGAATCATGAGTGTTCTAGAATGGCATCTAGAATGGGGAATCCTTTCCAGGAAGTTTTTGATTTATTTTGTCCAGATCCATCAGACAAATCACTATCTATGGCAGCTATAGTCTTATGAAGTATATTTCTCTCTCTCTCTCTCTCTCTCTCTCTCTCTCTCTCTCTCTCTCTCTCTCTCTCTCTCTCCCCCTCCCTCCCTCCCTCCCTCCCTCCCCTCTTTCTCTCTCTCTTTCTTCCTCTCTCTCCCTCTCTCTCTCGACTGGAGTCTTGCTGTATCACCCAGGCTGGAGTACAATAACATGAACTTGGCTCACTGCAACCTCCGCCTCTCATGTTCAAGTGATTCTCAGGCCTCAACCTCCCAAGTTGAAACATACTTCTTAAGTAAAAAGATGTGAAAGTCAGAATTACTCCTTGATTCATTGACTGCAGAATGGATGTTGTGTTAGGCATGAAAACAACCTTCATCTCCTTGTACATTTCCACTAGAGCTCTTTTATAACCAGGAATACTGTCGATGGGCAATAATATTTTGAAAGGGATCTTTTTTTCTGAGCAGTAGGTCTCATTAGTATACTTAAAATACTCTGTAAACCATGCTATAAACAGATATACTGTCACTCAAGCATCATCATTCTATTTATAGTGCACAGGCAGAGTAGATCTAATGTAATCCTTAAGGGCCCTAGGACGTTTAGAATGGTAAATTATCTTCAACCTACAACCTAAAGTCACCGGCTGCCTTAGCCCCTAACAAGAAAGTCACCCTGACCTCTGAGGCTTTGAATCTAGGCGTTGACTCTCCTTCTTAGCTTTGAAAGTCCTAGATGGAAGAAGTCTATTCTTCCAAAAGAAGGTTGTGTTATCATTGAAAATTTGTTGTTTAGCATAGGTACCTTCAGCAATGATCTTTTCTAGATCTTCTAGAGAGCTTGCTTCAGCTTCTGTATCAGCACTTGCTGCTTGACTTTGCACTTTTATGTTGTGGAGACAGTTTCTTTCCTTAAGCCTCATGAACCAACCTTTGCTAGCTTCCAGTTTTTCTTCTACGGCTTCCTCACCTCTCTCAACCTTCATGAAATCTTGCTCTGAATTAGGTTTTGGCTTACAGAAATGTTGCGGCTGGTTTGGTCTTCTATTCGGACCACTAAAACTTTCTCCCTATCAGCAATAAGGTTGTTGCACTTTGTTAGCATATGTGTGTTCACTGAACTAACACTTTTAATGCTCCTTTGCATTCACAACTTGGTTAATTGTTTCATGCAAGGGGTTCAGCTTTCAGGCTTTCTGAGCTTTCAGTGTGCCTTCCTCACCAAGCTTAATCATGTCTAGCTTTTGGTTTAAAATGTGAGACATACAACTCTTCCTTTCACTTAAACACTTAGAAGCCATTGTAAGGTTATTCACTGGCCTAGTCGTAATACTGTTGTGTCTCAAGGAATAGAGAGGCCCAAGGAGAAGGAGAGAGATGGAAGAACCTTTGATCTGTGAAGCAGTCAGAACACACACACCATGTATCGATTAAGTATATTGTCTTACATGAGCACAGTTCACGTTACCCCCAAAACAGTTACAATAGTAACATCACATTTTTTTTTTAAATCACAGATCACCAGAGCAGATATAATAGTAAAAAAGTTTGGGTCGGGTGCAGTGGTTCAAGCCTATAATCCTATGACTTTGGGAGACCAAGCTGGGCAGACTATCTGAGCTTAGGAGTTCCAGATCACCCTGGGCAACATGGTGAAATCCCGTCTCTACCAACAACAACAAAAAAAGCTGGGTGTGGTGTTGGGTGTCTGTAATCACAGCTACTTAGGAGGCTGAGGTAGGAGAGTTGCTTGAACCTGGAGGTGGAGGTTGTAGCAGTGAGTAAAGATCATGACACTGACTGCACTCCAGCCTGGGCAACAAAGAGAGACTGTCTCCAAAAAAATGTTTGAAATATTGTGAGAATTACCAAAATGTAATACAGAAACACAAAGTGAGTACTTGCTTTTGGAAAAATGGTGCCAATGACTTGCTGAATGCAGCATTACCACAAGCCTTCAATGCATACAAAGTGCAGTATCTGCAAAGGGCCACAAAGGGAAGCACAGCAAAACAAAATATGCCTATATGTGAATGAATGAATGTTGAATGAATGACATTATCTCCAAAACCTGTCC